TGGGGTCAGATTCCGAAACTAATTACATATTCGGGATCGTGGGTGAATGGGTGATCGGATTTTGGTCCGAACCTCGTGTTTTGACCAAGCGGGCCCGGGATCAATTTTTGACTTTTTGGGAAAAATGATAGAAAACCTATAATTTAGCATTGAGATTGAATTATTTAGCATTTATTGATGTTGTTAAATTAATTTGGACAAGATATAAGTAATTTGGAGGCGAATTCTAAAGAAAAAATGGTGTTTGAGGCTTGAGTTGGCCGTGGAAGTTTGAGGTAAGTGTTTGGTCTAACCTTAGCTTGAGGGATTAGGAGTCATGTATTATTTGCTACGTGTTAACTGTGGAGTACGATGTATAGGCATGGTGATGAGTATCAATACGTCGGTATCAAGCATGTTCGTGAGTATTGTATTGTAATTTTTATGACTCCGTTGTGGTTTATTCGTGTTTCATATGAGAATTTTATTATTGTTTCCTTGCTGGGATGTTGTTGTGATATTGTTGTTCCCTTGCCAGAATATTGTTGTAATATTATTGTTCCCTTGCCGGGATGTTGTTGTAATATTATCGTTCCGTTGCCAAGATGTTGTTATTATGCTATTGTTCTCTTGCCGGAATTCTTTTATGATTGGTGTTGATAAATGAAATGGGAGCGGGTTGCACGCCTGCAACGGTACTATATGAAATGGGAACGGGTTGCACGCCTGCAACGATACTATATGAAATGGGAGCGAGTTGCACGCCTGCAACGGTACTATATGAAATGGGATCAGGTTGCACGCCTGCAACGGTATTACATGTGTACTTGTTCTTCTTATTTCCTTATCTTTTGCTTGTAATTGATTTATGACGTTCCTTACATTTTCCTACTATTATTCTGTTTTTATTTGTTACTCCTCGCAACATGTTTCCCCTACCCAACTTTAATTGTAATTATCTACTTCTATTTCCGTTGTATATGATTTAACTGCAAAAATTTATTTGGTAATCTGGTCCTAGCCTTGTCACTACTTCGCCGAGATTAGGCTAAGCACTTACCAGCATATAGGGTCGGTTATGGTGATACTACACTCTGCACTGTGTGTATATACTGATATCGGAACGTTTGGACTGCAGTGAGGGTGCTGTCTTCAGTCCATTCAGGCGACCCGAGGTAGCCCCGCAGACGTCCCCGGCCTTGGCGTCTCCTGCTATCTTTTCTCTTTCTGTTTTTACTTATTCAGAGACAGGCTTATGTATTTCCATTCAGACCTTATTTTTAGTATTCTTAGATACTCCGTGACTTGTGACACCAAATTCTAGGTAGTATTGTACTTCAGATTATGTAGCAGTGTTTGGTTGAATTATTAAGTTTCGACTTCCGCATTTTCGATTATTTAATTTATTTCGTTGTTTAATCACTTATTATTTTAAATTGTTGAACATGTTTAATAAAAAGGGTAAAGATTTTATAATATTCGACTTGCCTAGCTTCCACGAGTAGGCGCCATCACGATTCCCGAGGGTGAGAAATTCGGGTCGTGACAGATACTATTCTACTACTAGACCACTGGTGCCTTTTAGTTTAACACTTTATTTTATTTATACTCTTTAATTGTATTTCTGTGCTAAAATAACCGACTGATTTCGGTCGAATTATTAAAAAAATAATATTATCGTTCGAAGTTGGTCAGTTTCTTGAAAAATAAATTTTACTATACGTAAAAATATTTTTTCGCACTTCTGCACAGAAAAAACTGACTGAAGTTGATCGATTTCGTAAAAACAAAAAGTAAAAAATAAAATATTTTGAAAAATCGACCGAATTTTTTGACCGACATAAGTTGGTCTCGGCCGCGGTGGATTTTAGCCAAATTTTTAGTAGTGTAGATTGAATAACATTTTTTTTCCGACAAAAAAAAAATATAAGGAAAACTATATGTTAGTAATTAGGTATTTGGCTTAATATATAAAACTCCTTGCTAAAGCAATATTTAGATAATATTTGCTCTTCCGCATAAATATTAAATAATACTTATATAACTCATGAGTTGCTAAATGTTATGTGTATTAGCTACACAGAGAAAATGTTTTTAAGTAAGCAACAACTTTTTAGTAAATAAAACTAAAAATAAAACTCATGATTTGCATCGTGTAGTAAGAACATTCAACTTAAGTATTTTTAAAATGTTTAATATGCATTAATTAATTAGTAAATCTAATTGTTGACTTTAATATCCCAATTTTAATGACAATCATTATGTTATTCTTCATTATACAATAAATTTAATGGTATTACTACTATAATTTTTTCATAATCAGTTCATGATTAAAAATGGGGATATCACGTTTTGTCAAAAAAAATAGCCACTATTTTATGGAGGAGATAAAATCTGAAGAAAATACCCTTAGCAAACAGAAAAAAAAATCCAGCATATGGATTATGAAACTTTTGCATATAAAACTTCAACATATTATACTGGAGTTTAAACTTCAAAGACACTTTGTATGCAAATTCTAACATATTATGCAGGAGTTTAACTTGTAAAAGTTCAAACTCCAGCGTATTATGCAGAAGTTTTCATATAGGGTATTTCAAACTCTAACACATTATGCTAGAATTCCATATATAAAAAGTTCGAACTCTAACATATTATGTTAAAATTTTTCAATTTTAACTTAAGATATTTTTGTCCAAATTTTATTGTCGCATAAAAAATTGACTAAATTTTAATTAATCTTAAAATAGTAGCTAATTTTTACGGTGACTAATTCTTAATTAGCAATTATAAATCAGATTAATTTTGAATGTCTCCAACACGCTTTGGCATTTGTGATGTACTATATAAGCAAAAGATTAGGGAATCTTACAAAAATGTCCCAAATAAGTTTTAACTTATCAATCTCTAGCCATAATTATAGACTTACCAAAATTTGCCCAGTATATACAAAAATTGAAAAATCAATTAAATAAAGATTCTTTCTCTCCAATAATCACATGCAAAGATCTCCTTCCATATTTTAAAGCATGATTAACAACATTAGATGCAAAACAAAAAAAAAAAAATCATGAATGAGATAACAAATAAGGTGATAAAAAATAGATATACAAGATTTTAAAAAACTAAGCAAAAAAAGGATATTTTTTAGATGAGTAAATATACAAAATTTGAGGAAGATTGGAGGTGAACTGGACTAATTTGGTATCAAAATTCGTAGTTAAAATCAAGTTCAATTTTTTTTCCGTGACACATGTATTAAAAATGTATCACACATACATGTATATATAGATATACACGTGAGATACATTTAATACAAATATGATACATATGCGATACACAAATGATACACAGTGAGATACACATCATCTTTTTCATGTTTATCTTCTACTTCAAATTTTCAATTCAAACCACCTCAAAACTATACCAAATCATCCCAAAATTGAGATTTAAATTTCTTAAGATTTATTCAATCTATTCTAACAATACCCACTTAAAAGAAATAAAAAATTTGATATTTTCTTGGCTATAAATAGCTAATGGCTAATAATGATAATATTTTATGAATTGGTTAATTTTTGTACTAACTTACAACTTGTTTGGATTGTTGTTACATGTCGTTTCATAATGTATCGTATTGTATTGTATTGTTTGATAACACAACATTTGGATAGATTATATCGTTTGGCGTCGAATTATGAGATCACGCACCAACAATATGAAGAATAAACTTGCAGCATTAGTAAGAAAAAATAGGATTCGAAGTATAATTATTATATAAAAAGTAGGTTAAAGGATAAAATATGATTATTTAACAATAAAAAAAGGCAAAATGAGAGAAAAAAAGTAAGAAAACGACACTATCTCACCAAATCTGTCGTTCCATAAAGTGACACTTTTTCTCGTTATATAACAACAATTTAACAACACAATACAATAAAATTTCAGTGACAATCAAAATAAATAATATATTTAGGGGTCGTTTGGTATGAGGTATAAGAAGGTATAATGGTGGTATAAAAATTTAATACCACCTTAATACTTTGTTTGGTTAGCAAATTAGGTATAAGTTATTCCGGTGTTAATTTTAACACTGGGATAACTTATACCTTATAGAAGGTAGAGTAATTAACATCGGTATAACTTATATCTTCTTCTTAAAAATTATGCAATTGTCATTCTTAATACAACATATCAAACAACAAATAAATAATAATTCCAGCATAATTTATCCTAATATAACTTATACCGGCATAATTTATACCGATATAAATCATATTCCAACCAAACAATCTCTCTAAGTAACAATATACATACAATACACCAAGTAACCATCGTCCAAAGTGCTAATTTGTCAAAAGATTACTCAATGACGTCCTTATGTCTTAGGGCAGCTTATTACTCTGTCACAGTCTGAACCAAAACAGACCACAAAAGTCAACAGTCAAAGTTCAACTCCAAATGAGTTGCGACGCTCTAACTTTTTTCTTTCTTTTTTGCTGACTCTTTTAGCACCTCTTAAAAACTTAGCTGGAAAATTTTCAAAATTCCAACAGCTACACAAAACCCAAAATTTGCAAAACTCCAAGAAGGAAAAAATATAAAGAAAAAAGAAAAAAAAAAGGTAACACTAAACGAAGAAGACAACAAAAAACTTGCATTGGTAACGAAAAATTATCAAATCCTTCTTTTCAAGAAAAAAATTCTCCAAAAAGATTGATAGACATTTTTCCAAAGTGTCTCAAACCTTTTCAGACCATTCCCTTTTTTCTCACCGGAACTTTTTCTTTCTTGATTTTCCGGCAGCCCCTTCTCTGCTTTTTCAGTCTAAGATAAGAGTAAAGAAAAAATCCACAATGTGAGGCACAGAGTTTTCTCTCTTTACTGGTGAGTCACATCTCTTTCACTGACCACTCAAATTCTCCCAAGATACCAACTTTCTGCTTTTTCTTTGAGGAATGTTGATGTCTACTGCATTTTAAGCTTTTTTACCACTTGGGTTTTCATTTTCTTGAAGTTTAGCGAATACCCTTTTGAGGATCTCCATTTTAATGGTCATTTTAGTTTTCAACTTTTGGAATTTTGTTTGGTCTATAGTGTTTTTGTTGTTCAAATTTGTACTACATTTGTCCCAAAGATTCAATTTTTGAAGAAAATCTCTCTTGCATGTGCACCTAGATAAGTTTTCTCTTATCTAATTGTTTTTTTTTTTTTTTTGGCTTAAAGAATTTGAGATGTAGTATATGTTATTTGTGTATGTGGACACAAGGTTACTTTGTAGCGTGTATTTGTCAAAGTATATGCGTTTTCATTGACTTTTTCATTTTAATTTATTCAGTTTTTGGGATAATATAGTAGTGATTAGGTCTTCAACTTTGGATGCTGGCAAAACATTTTCTAGTGTTACTTTAAAGCCTTAGAATAGTGATTGAATATGCTTAAAAGGGTCATCATATTGACCTAAATTGGGTCCCATTTGAACCAGGATTTCAATCCAAAGCTATTTTTTTAGCCATTAATATATTTCTTCATGTTCCTAGTTTTCTTTGTTTACTGTTATTTTATGGTCCAGTTTGATATTTTGTAGGTCATAAGCTCTTTAATTCAATCATAAGCTGTGGATTTTGTTTTTGTTTTCTCACATGGCAAATTTCTTATAGGGCAATAGAGGAGCATTTGCTGTTTCATGAAAGTGTCTGCAGGCAGTATTCATTGCCAGCTCCTTCCCACTTATGGGGCTTTGAATGTCTTTTTTGAGGTACTAAACTTTATATTTCATCTTTATCCTTTAATCATACCTCCATTCTTTTCACATCATTTTCCCACTTTTTGTTTGCCTGATCTTGTTGCAAACCTGAGCCAAGGTCTACCGGAAATAGCCCTCTCTGCCTTTTAAAGATAGGGATAAGGTCTGCGTACACACTACTTCTCCCTAGAAGCTACTTGTGGGAATACATTGAGTCTGTAGTTGTTGTTGTTGTTGATCTTGCTTCAAACCTGGAAGCTATTGGCAGCTTGAGAGTTTGGCCTTAGATTTGATAGATGTATTTCAATTCCTTTTCAAAGGAATAGTTTTTACCTGGTTTTGGTTTCTTATGGTCATTGTTATTCTTTCTGCTCTAGAATTGCTTGATCTTGTAAGCCTTTTACAGTTGCTAAATTACTGTAGTCCAGCGGAACGAGTAAACAAGTTTTTTGTTGATATGCAGAAGCTGGAACCAGTTTTCTGTCTTTTCATCTGCTTCCGCAAGCAGAAATAGACATGGTTAGAGGAGACAGAATAGCCTGTTATTCGAATTTGCTGCTTTCTGTCTCTATTGGATTCTTGCTCTTTTCAGTAGTCAGTTCGCAAATTCCTTTGGGTTCCAAACTAACAGTAGAAGAGAACAATTGTTGGGTCTCATCCAACGGGGACTATGCAGTTGGATTCTTGAACTCCTCCGACCAGTATATCTTTGGCATCCGTTTCAATTCGATTTATATTCCTAGCAGTGAACAAACAGCCATTTGGACGGCAGGCAATGTTAAAGTTAGTAGCAAAGCATATTTTGAGCTTTCCCGAAGTGGGGAAATGATATTGTTTGATCCAGCAACGGAAAAAATTGCTTGGCAAAACAAAACTGGCAATGCATCTGTTGAATCAGCTGTTCTGCTCGATAATGGCAACTTTGTGCTGTTAAATAGGAATAAGAGTGCTGTTTGGCAGAGCTTTGAAAGTCCATCTGACACATTGCTTCCTGGCCAGAGTTTATCTGTTGGCCATACTCTTCGAGCTTCTAGTAGGGATTCTTTAGCAAGTTATTACAGTCTTGTTATGAATGTTTCTGGTGAGATGCAACTTAGGTGGGACTCCACTGTCATTTACTGGACTGTTGGGGGTCCTTCTCAACCTGCTGTCCGGTCCATTCTTGGCTCTGACGGAATCCTCCGACTACTTGATCAAAGATCAAAAGTTGTTTCGTCTGTCTATGGTGAAGACTACAGTGATCCTGATGTGAAGTTTCGGTTCCTGAGACTAGATTCTGATGGTAATCTTCGGATGTACTCGTGGAAAACTAATGCCACGTCATGGACAACAGTTTGGCAAGCTGTAATCAATCAGTGTGACGTCTTTGCGACATGTGCTAACCAAGGTATATGCATCTTTAATGCATCAGACTCTTATGTTTGTCAGTGTCCATTTAGATCTACTAGAGACACAAACACCAAATGTCTGATTCCATACAAACCAACTTGTGAGTCTGGTTCATCCATGATCCGATATGATCATATGTACTTGTACGGGATATACCCACCAAACAAAACAGTTGTGCAAACCAATTTGCAGCAGTGTAGAAGTCTGTGTCAGAAAGACCCGTCCTGCCATGCAGCATCCTTCATCAACAATGGGACTGCACAATGCCACATGATGAAGTCCCAATACGTTGGCGGTCAATCAGATCCCTCTTTGGGTTCCATTACTTTTGTCAAGACTTGTTCAGACCCAATTGCTGTTTTACCTGCGCCTGTACCTGCTCCGAGAAAGGTATCACAGAAAATCTGTGTTGCTTGTCTGTTAGAAGTCGCTGCTGGATCAGTTGTTGTGTTTTTCATGCTTCAATTCGGGATTGGAGTTTACCTGTTCAGGAGAAGGAAAAGTATGATGCAGAAATCTGTTCCGGCCCATACGGTGCCTAATGCTACCGGTTGCATCGTGTTGTCTTACTCGGAAATCAAAGATCTGACAGACAATTTTAAGAAACAAATTGGACAGAATGTGTTCGAAGGTGTACTTCCAGATACCAGGCTTGTTGCGGTTAAAGATCTTAATGCCTCTATAGAAGAAAGGAGGTTTCGGAGTGCAGTCCTAAAAATAGGAAGTATATATCACAAAAATCTTTTGAGGTTGGACGGTTATTGCTGTGAGTCAGGCCGTAGGTTATTGGTTTATGAGCTTGCCAAGTATGGTTCGATTGACAAATGTTTAGAAGAACCTAGAATGTGCAAGAGATTGACATGGACGAAAAGAATAGATATATGTTTGTCAGTGGCAAGAGCCATATCTTACTTGCATACAGGATGTAGGGAGTTTGTTAGTCATGGAAATTTGAAATGTGAGAATGTGTTCTTAGATGAAGAATTAGAGGCTAAAGTAAGTGAATTTGGGCTGAGGACGATTCAAGCTGAGGCGTCCAGTAGTGGGGGACTAGCAGAGACAGATGTAAGAGATTTTGGTAAGATGATGGTTGTATTAATCACCGGACGGCAAGATGCGGATGAGGCTTGTTATTGGGCATACGAAAAATGGGTTAAAGCTGAAAGAGAAATGGCCATTGATCAGCGAATTGAGGGTGGCGTCGACTTGGAAGAGTTAGAACGAGCATTTAGAATTGCATTTTGGTGCTTACAAGGTGATGAACGTATGAGGCCATCAATGGGAGAGGTAGTCAAGGTACTGGAGGGAACTCTGTCTGTCGATCCTCCACCACCTCCTTTTGCTTATAACCAACAGAGACCACCTGAAGACGAATCGCTGTCTGAATCATATTCAGAACTGTAATAGTTCTAATTCGTGTATTTCATTCCCAATCAGTCATCGGTTTCTGTACAGAACTAACAACCAGGCACCTACAGCTTGGCATGATGTAGAACGCCTAGTTTTTCCATTATTCCAATGCTCATTCTGAGAATCAAGATGCGCATTTCCCGCTCTGCCTCCTCTGAAACTGTAACATTGGTATGTAACCCTCCAATTGCAATTTTTGTGTAAGAAAATCCTGATACAGAACCAGGTTACTTTTGAAAGTTCTTGATTCTGTTCAAGTTAATTGTAACTGTTTATTGCATTTGTTCACAGTTAGTATTTATTTGGAGGTGACTAATCTTCCTCAACTCTGCCCAAAATGCCTACTTGGCTTATGCTCTCAGTTTGCTCTAGCCTTTTTTTCTTGTTAGTGTCCCTATCTTAACTTAAAACTTCAAATAATCTGTTAAAGCTCGGGTCCAAGAGGTTGAGGATGAGGTTTAATCCGGAGATCATTAAGTCAACCCTAACTTAAAATGGAACTTTGGAAGTTTGTCTCTTTTTTTTTGTTTAGCGGTATGGTTGGGATCAGCCTGTGCACACCTTGACTATTTCTATCAGGTACCTGCAATTTCCGACCATCATAGGTACCATGAAGGGTCACCGTCAGAGGCGGTGCAATCTCCGACCATCATACCATGAGGGGTCACCGTCAGAGGCGGACATATATGTTATAGTGAGGAGTTACCGGACCCCGTAAGCTTCATGTATATGTTTATACCTTGAAAATAGTTAATTTAAAGCACTTGACACCCTGAACACTAAAAGCCTTTAGGGGGCACCGGTTGAGCAGAATATTGTGCCCCGTCGCGTAAAAATCTTGGTTCGCCTTTGGGTACCGTATAACTTTACCCTCACTACTCAGGCAGATAGAGAGAAATCATCTACGCATTTTGAACTCTATCTCCATTGTTTTTACGCATTTCGTTGTCCGCTAGGTCACACTTGGGTGCTGTGGAAGGTTGTCCGCTAGGTCACACTTGGGTGCTGTGGAAGGTTGTCTGTTGGGTTGTGCAAGTTGTACTTTAGTAGCCTCTTACTAAATTTTATTTTCCATGAACATGGTCAACATTTCAGGAATGAACACAGTTTCATAACTTTTATAGTGAAAGAGTTCTTATCAGTAAATAATAATTTATGAATTGGTCTTTTTCTCTCATCTGTCTGGTCCATCATGTACTAATATTTTTATTTGTGGTCAAATGATATCCCTTGAATCATGCACGTAATATATCAAATAATTAATTGTTTGATGTGAGGTTTTATAATTATTATAATAAACAAAATCATTTTCATTAATGTAGGTGCATAAGTTAAACATTGTTGTCTTTAAAAAAAAGTTATTTGGTAGTGCTTTAGGTAGGATTGTTGCCTGGAGACCTAGGTTACTAATTCATTCATTTATTTGTTTTTTAATTGACAAAATAACAAGTCTAATAAAAAAGCAAATGTTTTGATTTGATATGTCAACAACAACCCTATAAATTTTTTACGAGTGGGGTCTGTGGAAGTAGAGTGTAAGAGACTTTACCCCGGTCCGGAGAAATAGAGAAACTTTCATATTCAGAAAATGAAAACAGAAGGAAAAAAAAGGTAAAAATTGCACGGGGCGCCTTATTTGGTCGCCCCCATTTAACCTATACCCATTTTTAATTTTTTTTTTTAACTTGTACTCACTTTTTAAACAACTTCAACCCCCTTTCTCCTCCTTCTCCTCCTCAAAGTTTTATCTTTTCTTTTTCAGAAGTAAAGTTCATTCCTATCTGCTTCTTCTTATTTCTCCGATGAGTCCTATAAATTTTCAATCAATTTTTCCTTTTCGCGGACACCCTCAGCTGTAAAGGTTCTATCTTGATAAGAATAATAATAGTGAAAATATGATTATTCTTAAATACAAATAATACTCACAGAGAGACAAGATCTCCTTCATGTATAAGAATAATATTAAATTTTCAATTCTTAGATTCAATGCTCAGAGCATCATGAACATCAACGGGAAGATAAAATCTTGAAGGCAACAAAGAATTCTCACCTGCGAACGAATGGAAAAGTTCATACGTTTTGTATTTTCAACTGCTGCAACTTTCTTCATTTAAGACAAATTATCATACTCCTTACACACAATAAAAAGCGGAACCTTTGTAAAATTACGGCGACTCAAATGAAATTATAAACAAACAAAAACTTCAGCTCTAGAGCTGAAATTCTTAGTTACAAAGAAAAAAACTTCAGCTCTAGAGCTGAAGTTCCACAATTACAAAGAAAAAAACTTCAGCTCTAGAGCTGAAGTTCCCCAGTTACAAACAAAAACTTAAGCTCTAGAGCTGAACTTTAGGCCCGGCTACTAGAATGCTGAAGTTTTGCGTGATTGCCTTTGCTACTTCAGCCCCGTATGCTGAAGTTATGTGAAAAAGCGGGTACGCTTGCATTTTTTTTGCAAAGCAGACACAAGTTAAAACGCGACACAAAAAGCGGGTATAGATGCAAATGTCCCGAAAAAAAGTTACACATTATATGCAGCCTGGAAATCTTTCATTTCTCCATAGATGTTTTTGTAAAATATAAAAACGAAGAAAGGAGTGATTTTTTTGGTTTATTTTACGTAAGGTACTTTGAAAGCACATTGAACCGAAGGTTGTATAAGTGAAATATATTTTGGAAATTTGGATTTCCTAAAAAGAGGACTTGCAAGGTTTACTTTACGGTTATATTGCTCCAATTTTTCTTGAGAAATTCTTTTCGAAAAAGTAGAAAAATGAAGAGCAGAAACAATGGAAGATATCATTAAACAATATCAAGAAGGATTGAGGGAGCTCATTAAAAAACGTGAGATTGACACAATAAAGGACTTTTTGGGTCTGATCTTGAAATTTTATCCCCATAATTGATAATATTGTCGGAATGACCCCAATATGTATAGACATGCGTTTAATGAAATAATCCGGATTAAAATACCCTAAGATTGACCGCTAGAGATGGCAGCAAGAGCAACCAAAATCGGTAAACTATGCCATGCACAAGTTGTGACAAATTGGTAGGACTTCATGCTATATTCAACCTAGCTATCATGTTGCATAATACACAAACTCTACAAACAACAACAACCCAGTAAAATTCCACAAAGTGAGGTCTGGAGAGGGTAATGTGTACGCATACCTTATTCCTACCCCGATTAGGGCTGTTCATTCGGATCGGATATCCGAAATCCGAAATCCGAACCGATCCATTTAGTTTTGGATTTTGGATTTTGGATTTCGGATTGGATCGGATTTCGGATTGTGTTTATTAAAATTTCGAATTTCGGATCGGATTCGGATTGGTATATTTTAATCCGATCTGATCCGAAATCCGAAATTATTAGGGCATGTATAAATATTACACTTTAGTTTCGAATAGTCAGTACTTCCTTTACATCTTCCTCCAAGCTATTATCTTTACAATTGATGGATTTAACTATATTGACACCATAGTCCGCTCATAATTGCATAAACATGATTTTTTTAATGTATTGCCTCTTTTACAAAGAAACTATACATATTAGTTTGCAACTTTGAGGCATAATAATACGATCCGAAATTCGATCAGATCCAAACTTTAAAATCCAATCCGATCCGATATAATTCGGATCGGATTCGGATTGCATTTTCTAGAATCCGAAATTCGAATCCGAAATGTGATAAATCTGATCCGATCCGATCCCTGCACATCCCTAACCCCAATAGGGCAGAGAGACTGTTTCCGATAGACCCTCGGCTCAGAAAGACGAAAATTAAAACAGGAAAAGACAATTCATTAGTAACTCCAGTAGAAACCGTAATAGTAACAGAAGCATAACAACCAAAAGATAAATGACATGCAATAACAGTAACCAGTATCTAAGGCCCGGGGCTAAGATAAATAGCAAGGATAGTATGGATTCAACATAAACTGCAAGCCATCTAAACTCAATCCTAATCCAATCCGCCTCACCCCCGATATGAAGTAAGGAAAGCTCCACTACCCCCTAACCTACAACCTTAATGCTTGACCTCCAGACCGTCCTATCAAGGGCCATGTCCTCGGAAATCTGCAGTCGTACCATGTCCTGCCTGATCACCTCTCCCCAATACTTCTTAGGCCTCCCTCTACCTCTTCTCGTACCCACCACGGCCAACCGCTCACACCTCCTCACCGGAGCATCAAGGCTTCTCCTCCGCACGTGCCCGAACCATCTGAGCCTCGCTTCCCGCATCTTGTCATCCGCAGGGACCACACCCACCTTCTTCCGAATATCTTCATTCCTAATCTTGTCTATCCTAGTGTGCCCGCACATCCACCATGGCATCCTCATCTCTGCTACCTTCATCCTCTGGATATGGGAGTTTTTAACCGGTCAACACTCTGCCCCATACAATATGGCCGGTCTAACCACAGCTCTATAAAACTTACCTTTGAGTATCAGTGGCACTTTCTTATCACACAAGACTCCAGATGCAAGCCTCCATTTCATCCAGCCCGCCCCTATACGGTGAGTGACGTCCTCGTCGATCTCTCCATCCCCTGAATCATCGACCCAAGATACTTGAAGTTATCTCTCTTGGGGATGACTTGTGATCCAACACAAACTCTACCAAATTGTCATAATTTTAAAACTACGAACGAAAGAGTAAAAAGACATGTCAGAAGGATAGCAGACAAGTTATAACAAAACGATAGGACTTCATGCTTTATTCAACCTAGCTATCTTGTTGGCTAACCACAAACTCTATTGGATTTTCATGTTTTATCAATGATATCTCATTTAATGTTATAAACATTATAACAAACTTAGAACTTTTAACTATATTGATCATATCACTATAGTTCATTTGGTAGAGAGTTCTACCAGATTGGCGGAGCTTAGTGCTACCAGAGTGTCATATTTCACCAATGGTAACTCATTTAAAGTTATAGACAGTTATAACAAAAATGTACGAACTTTTAACTATACTGATCATATCAATATAGTTCATTTGGTAGAGAATTCTATCAGATAGCCAAAGTAATAAGGTCAACTAGGGTCATTCTTTAAAGACGAGCGTGTGAGGCCACACCGTGCTAATTTTTGTTATAAAATTCGTTGTTTGCATCATAAAGTTGTTAAGTAAGCAAACATAATTGGGCTTCTATCAAAATTTTAAAATCATGACTATGCTCATTGTGTCGGAGCTGCATATGTTGAGATCCAAGAGCCAAAGTTTTTAAACATTCTCATTTCAGTAAAACCTACTGGTGCATATGTATAATAGATCATGAGACTCTTTATTACACATGAAACATGTTATTATTT